TTATGTTAACCGATTTTTGTGATGCAATTCCTAGTAAAAGTTCCAGTAGCAATAAAAGCCACTATAAAATAAGGTTGCCATTTTACAAGATACTTTGTGAAATACAATAAAATTACTTTTGTCATGATCACCATACCCACTAGAAAGATAAGAAGGTGAAACCATTTGTCAAATATACAGGGTTTATCTTCCCATTAAACACTTAGTCTTTAAATAGATGAGTGTTCTGATGAGATCCGAATAGACTGATTCATGTGAGTAAAGTTATTTTTTTATGTTAGTCTGCAGGTCCTGAGAACAGTAATGACAAGGCCTGGCTTTTACCTAGTGTGTCTCTGGTTTTGTAGGCTCTTTCTGGAGTCAGTGACATCCTTCAGAAAACAATCCACAGTGGCTAGGATAGACTTCTGCTCTGAGGCATCATTCAGAAGGGCTTGTTTCTTATGCCTTATGACAGAGGGAATTGAGGATTAGCGTAAGAAGGCAAAAGTTAAACATGAATACCTGCCTCCATCTCATCTTTCAGTTTAAATGTAACCTTGTATTTGATTATATGCTTTATGCACACACAAGTCTTTTCAATTTTAAATGTATCTTTCTCTTTTATCTTCTAGATACCTGTGTGCAAGATAGCTTTGCAAAGTGGGAAAAACTCAGTCCTAAAATCCACATCCAACTTCTGTAGGTGACAAGACACTTTATTTATTAATTTTTTTTACTGTTCTTTTGCTTGAGTTGTTTTCTCTCTTACACCTCTCCACCATAAACTGTGTACAGCTTCTACTTTGCCCAAGACTTGCCAGTATTTCAAATCACTGTAGTCTGAGACATTACAGCTAATACATGCTAGCAAATGGATTGCAGAACATGTTGTAGGATCTTTCCAAGTCAATAGATGTTTTCTTTTACACTGAAATAACTGACATTGCAGCAAAGTGATTTAGAAGGATGAGGACACAGAGGATTGCACCAACTGCAACATCTCCAAAGTAGATGGTGCCACTTTGCCTGCTAGAAATCCATAATTTTCCTGCCATGTCACATACTTGCAGCATTTCTGGTTTCAAGCATTTAGCAAATTCTTACAAACTTCCAGGCACTGTTGCAATAAAATATAGCTGTCTTATACAGAGAAGAGGCCAGGAACGTAGGTGAATAAAGAGGTCAAATCAGAACCTGTATTTTTAAAGCAGAGGAATTACAGTCTGTTGTAAAATGGATAAATGTCTCAGGAACTTTGTATAAGCCAACAATCACTTATCATACAGGTTAAAGTAGTTTTTTTTCTGCACAATTGCCCAGCAGAGCTAACAAAGCTGAATCTGCAGTTCTGAGAATCACAGGAGGAAATAAAATCCCTTGTCTATTAAAAGGATACAACAGTATATGGAAGATACAAAGGGATGTTAAATAAAGGTCTCTGTCACTGTATGTACCTTTTTAGTGATGTATTTTTAAATCCAGTTAAATTACAAGAATTGAATTTTCCTAATCCAGTAGTGAAGGACTCAGCTACACAGTAAAGTACAGAAATGCACTTTAAACATTTGTTACTGTAAAGATTTTCTTTCCTGAATGATTGTTTAAAAAAAATAAAGCCAGTGGAATTGTGCCTCACAAGAGGAGGGGAAAATCATTAATAAAAGTCCACAGAAGATTTTTAAGGCTTTACTAGAATGGCTGCAGCCACTGCCTCAAGAACTATGGAAGCAATCAAGAAGGTGAAAAAGTGACTATTGCTGCCAAGTATAACTGGGGGGAAGTAAAATCCTTTACATGACAACACTTATGTGTTATTGCTATGGACTTGACCTTACTGGGTTCACAGCTGCTGGGTACTGGCTATGATGCGGGACAAGTTCAGTGGAACTTTAGGGAAAACAGGAGTGGCTGACTTGGTTCTCCAGGCATCCTTGTTCTGGTTGAGGGGGAAGTTAAAGTGCCTCAGTTATGTTCCCTGCAAGACTGGTGCTGAAGGCTTTCTCTATGAACTGAAAGCCCCACACTGTCCTATTAAGACAACTATAACATTCATCTGCATGGGGAATTTAGCTGGAGCTGAGATCTGGCCCTTGATTCTTGTGCATGTGAAAAGCTTTCTGTACCAGAAGGTTCTGCTTCCAGAATGAACCTGGACAGGCTACAGCATGGAGAAGGTGGCAGGGCATGGTTGTAGTTACAACTTCAGATCAATTGACTTATACAGCTGAAATGAATTATCAAATAATACTCAAAATCAATAATGTGGCACTTTTTACAGCTGCAAGCACAAAAAAAAAAAAAAAATCAAACAAAAAAACCCCATCAAACAAACAAAAAACCACCCTTCTTCAGTTGTAGTTCTAGCTTGGAATAAAGGAGCTTTTTACATCCAAAACACCAAATAGTTGACTTATCCACTATAGAGAGATCTCTAATATTATATTCTTGGATCAGAATTAGAGGTAATTATAGCACTGTCTAGGGATAAAAAACAGCCAGCAAGGGTATTTCAATTCTAGTCATGGATGATAAACAGTGTGGAGGTGAAATGCTGCAGCTGCTGAGTGATAGAGATTGCTATCAGGATTAAACAGGAAGCACATGTTTTACTGGATCAGGAAAGATTAGCCATGTTTTGAATATGGGATTATGAAGTAATTAAATAAATGAAGACACATTTCTGACACAAATGCTACAAGAAAGAATGTAATTACTCACTTTATAGACAATGTTTCTATAATTTGTCATTCAGGTCTTTGACTGGTAAGCATATCAACCTGCTTCATACCAAGTGAAGTCAACCGTGCTGGAGTCACTGAAGGGCTGAGCCAGGCGTGCTGTGCTAACAAGTGTGTTTTACAGGGATGAACTAACTGCTGCTGTAAATATATAATGGGGACAACTCCTACAAGTTTTGGTGGAAGCAATGTTCTGCTGTTATTTACCAGCCTGGCCTGGCAATTCATGACTTGAAGAAACAGTCAAGGGAGGATTAAATTGGTTTGACCTCCAGTAGAATCAAGAAAGTAGTAACGGGTGAATCTATGCAAAACTGGAAGCACTGGTGTAGTTCCTTGTGGATAAAAATCCTCAACTGTGTAGCAGGTAATGTGGTTTGTGTATGATGGTGCTGAAATGCAGCAATATCTCGGGTGAAACGCATGAGTTAAATGGAACTGTATATAGCTGAATGACAATAGATTTCTGTAAGCTCACTGGGGAAATCTCTTACCCATGAGATTTAAGATGGTGCAAGATCTTTAATGTCTGTGCAGAGAAGACAAATTTTCAGTTGTTAAAAGCCTTACAGAAAAGGCCCATACAGAATAAACTGCACAGTGCTCTGTTAATCTAAGTAAGAAAGGAGAAAGTGTGTGTTCACCCTGCCAGGTGGAAGTTATATAAACCTTATCTGTCACTGAAACTAACAGCTTTGTAGGAAAGTCTGTGCACAACAGAGAGATGTTTGAGAGGAAGACTTACCCTGGACCACCATCAGAAGAATGGTATAGTCCTGTGTAGGAGGGAAGGTGGAACAAGGTGTTTGGATATGGATTTACATCCAAACCTGCAGGGATTTGGTTTGGATTTCTTCCATTTGTTGCTTTTATTGGGTTATATTTTGCCCTCCTGCAGGCATGTAGCTTTCATTAGATGCTCTATGCAGCAAGGGGAGAATGTAATCTGGGGTACTTAGGTCCATATGTGTTTGTTCTCTGCTGTTAAAATTATTAAAACCTCATTGGTTTTTCTTCAGTCCCAGAGGTTTTTATTGTGGCTACATGCTACTTGGGAACTGTATTTAAAATCAGACTTAGAAATAGAACTGTATACTAAGTTCAGTGCTCAGTTGTAACTGTAAAAAAAATAATAAACGTGACCCTTTTCTGTGTTACTAAAGAAATGCCTAATGTGTCTGTCTGGAAAAAGTGGAATTAACCTTGTTGATAGTTTTCTTGGAGAGAAAAGGCAGTACTTACAAGACAGTTTAATGAACCATATTTGAAAAATGTCATATGGAACAGTATTCACAGCTCTATTTAAAATGATCAGCAAAAGTATATGTCCTCATTTTTGAGCATCAAGTTAATTAGCAGGGGGTGAGTTCTCTCTTCTATCCAGGTGCAGAGAATGAGACCCTCAATGAGACCCTCCCCCCCCTATTTTAAAAATTGTGGGTGTGGATTTTCTATCCCTTGAAATGCTCAGAAGTAAAAGGAAGAAGAGTGCCTTCCTCAAGGTCTTTGGGGATGGATACAGCAACAATCGCCCACATCCTGATGCAGGAAATCACCCAGCCCTCTTTCTCACCTCCTCAGTAGACACTGGACATCTTACTCCTTTCTTGCTGGTGAAGGTCTCCTCCTTTCACCCTCATTCCTATGTAGCCCCCCTCATCGCTCTCCTTCCCATTTTTAAAAATGAAAGATGGCTTTCCTCTACAGCCTTTTGATGGCCTGGGCAGTCCTCTAATTCATTACATGGTGTGGGAACAGAGACTCTTCACGGTGCGGGATGTGTTGACCAAGGGAGGAGAACTCCCTGCCAAAAGAAATTAAGAAACCTGGGATGACTACTAGCCTTTGAAATGTCATTACTTTTGCAAATTGTAGAACCATTGACTCAAGACAGTCCTATCCTACTCAGGGTTTATAGAAGCCGGTGTTTGTTTGTTTGTTTTTATGTTTTTAAGGCCAGTTTTACCGCTCCGTAACTCTTTGGAGCACAGAATTCACTGCCGCTCTCTCAGCGGAGATGTCTGCCCGCACAAACATCCACCGCGTCCCTCGCCAGGGACACACTCCCCAGGTTGCGCCCGTGGGTGCGGGACCCTCCGCCCCTCCCCGCGGGGCCGTTACCGGGCGGCCGTTGGCCGGGCGCGCGCGAGAGCCCGTGTCCCCCCTTCAGGCGGGCGCCGCGCGCCGCCGCTCGGCGGGTAGATGGCGCCAGACCGCGGCTCGCGGCACCCGCGCGCGCGCGCGCGCACCCCCCCCCCCCCCACACACACATACGCGCGCGCGCACGGACGCGCACACCCTCCCGGAGCCGCTGAGGGCACCTACGCGGGGCTCGCCGCCTCTCCCCGACCCGCTGCCCGAGCAGCGGCGAACGCACAAAGGAGAGGAGGAGGAGGAGGAGGAGGAGGAAGAAGAGGAAGAGGAGGCGGCGGCGCGCACGGTGCTTGGAGCCCGGCCGGAGGCACTGCCCGGAGGTAGGAGCTGCCTCCCCGCCCTGGCAGCCAAACTTCGCCGAGCCAGCGCTGCCTGCTCCCGCGGGGGGCTTTCTTGGGGTTTCGTAACGCTCTGTTCTCCCTCGGCTGGTGTCCGCCCAGCCCCAGGTGACCTGCATTATTATTGTTATTAGTGGTGGTGGTGGTGTTCTCCGCCCCTCTAGGCTGGGCAATCAGGGTGGGTCTCAGCGGAGCTGGCAGCTCCGCAGCCAGAAGTTGGCGAGGGGCGTGAGGGGAGACCAAGCCCGAACTCGGGTCCCCTCAAACTTCCCTGCCCGAGGAAGCTGCCCCCGCGGCCGCGCCGCCCTCCTCTCCGCGCCTCTCCGCTCCCCTCCGCACCTCTCCTCTCCTTGCAGATGTCGGGGGTGCTGGTAATCGCTGCCTGGTGCTTCCTGCAAGTGGAGAGCCGGCATCCTGAAATCATCACGAGTAATAGCAATCATGGCAATTTCCTGGACAACGACAAATGGCTGAGCACCGTTTCACAGTATGATAAAGACAAGTACTGGAACAAATTCAGGGATGTAAGTACTTCTTCATTTACCACATACTTCTTTGTTATTGTTGTTCCATTTTACCGTAGCATCCTTTTAACGGGAGGCTGCCGGCTTTTAGAAGCTGCGGGTAGAAGAGAGATGCAGCTTGGGCAACTGGTTGCTGCTTGTGTGAAGGATGTTCAGAGCTGTTTGGAAGCTGGACAATCAGTCCTGGCATTGTCAGGGAACCCATCGATTGGGGCAGCTTGGACTCGGTGTCAGGCTCACTGAAAGCATATGGTCTTCAGTTTTCCTTTGGGAAGGAACTTTGAGCGAAGTTTCTGTGCCTGCTGCTTAAGAAGCTAGTTAACTGTGAAACGGTGTGTGTGTGTAAGGGAATATTTACCAGTTCAGGCCACAAGGTGGTAAACGGAGAAGCTTTTTTTTCCTGTAGATTTGGTGGAAAACAATTTATTGTCAATTCTGCTCATGGAGATCTTTGATGCAGCTATAGGTTTGGAGGAAGAAATGCTTTGATTCAGTTTTTTTTGTTTTGTTTTGGTTTGGTTTTTTTTTTTTTTTTCAATCTGGAAAATAGGGGTAAATCCAAGATGTGATATGACATGTACCTGTACAAAACAAATCAATTTCTTAAGCTTAAAATTAGTTTCTGAGTTCCTTTAGTTTGAATATAATTGTGTGTATGAAGTCAATGACTGCATAAAGGGAAACGCAACATTTATGGTAAATGTAGTATTTATGGAGCTCCTTTTGCTTCTGTTTATATGCTGAAAAAGCTTTCTTGGAGCACACACAGAAGATATTGCTTCAGTCTGCCCAAGGCTGGATAAAAGAAACGTTGTTAATGTTGAGCATGAGCACATTGAGGTTAAGTGTTCTTTATTGCATGGGATTCGTGCGCTGCGGCTGGAAAGGGAAGAGTAGAGCTGGCTAGCAGTTCTGCTAGGAGTATTCTGTAAGAATGTTTTTGTTTGTTTAGGAAGTTCTGGTGTTTTGTAACATATTAACAAGTTAAACATTGATACTTTGTGTTTGTCTCTGTGATCTTAACACTGTATCTTACTTTGGGAAGAGAAAGTCAAAGTGTTACAGTTAAATGTGACCTGTCTGTCTAGTTCATTCTCTACATTTTTCTGTAGCTGTGGTCATCTCTGTGTCTGAGAAATCACGCTGCTCTGAATCTCAATATAACAAAGTATGGCCTCAACAATGGTATCAACAGATATGTCAGAATATCTGTGTGCAGTCACTGTGATGACATCCACCTACTGGGACTATTGAAATTATCGTATAATAGATGTCTGGAAAAGCCTATGCTAGTGCAGTAACTACTGTTTTATGAAGGGGATTCTGCAGTTAACATGGATTCATAGATTTTTTTTTTTTATTTTATTTATTTTTTTTTTTTACACCAAGGGAGCTTTGTTAATATGTGTTTTAGTCTCCTGGGGAACGCAAGTTAAGAATTTCATTTGATGTGAAAATTCAGCAGCATTTGAAAATAGTAAATTGAATGGACTGACAAATTAATCCAAAACCACTTTTAACTAAGGATAGATTTATATCAAAAGATAGATTTATAGCAAGGGATTTTTCAGCAGTCTCCTTCCAAATAGAGGCCTTGTATTAAGCAGACTTCTTGAGATTAAAGTTTTTATTTAATTTTATGTAGTTTTTCTTTTTGTTTGTTTGTTTTTGAAGCCTGGAGTCCTTGCAAATTCTGTTCTTGTACCTGTCCCCAGTCTCACAATTGCAATTGTCAGTGAAATTATTCCTTTTCCTGTGGAAGATGTTAGTGAAGATTACTGCTTTCATGTTTTAAGGTTTCACAACCAAAAATGCTTTCTTTAGACTTTCTGAAAATGATATTAAAAAAATGTAAAGCCTCAAAACTCTTTTTATAAAAATAATCATTTGATGGGAAAAAACCCTCTTAACCAGTCCTCTTCCAAGCAAAAGCAAATAGCATAAAGTTCATGCAGAGTTTCAGTATCTTTCTACCCAGCTGTCTTAATGGTTTTATTTAATTGCTTCAAAACGGGCATGTTATGATTGCATGATTATCTATGAAACCTTTTATGGAGCAAATTAACAGACACTACTAATAATCTCCTACTAAGATTTTTCCAAAAAGAAAATATAAAAGGCTTGCCTATTTAATGAAGCTCTTAATAACTTGTTTTCAACCAAAGTGATTTACCATGTCATAATTTTCTCTGAGAGGCTCTGTGTCCACAGAGGAAGACATAAATAGGTAGAATTGCTGCCAAAGTAGTAGGTGTAGTAGAAACAGCATGCTTCTTATGTGCAGAGATGTCATTAGAAGAAATCTGGTCCTTGTTTCATGCCTGCATTGTTGGAAATAGATAATTAAAACATTTGTTAAAAGACTAGTGAGATGCAGCATAACAGTATTAACTGCTATGTATGGGGTAGACTAGCAGTTCACTCATAATTGTTGAATTGTAGGGAAGCTATCTTCCCATCTTCCCTTTGTTCCCAAACTAACTATCTATATATAAATATATGCACATACATCATTACTAGATGAGGTTCTCTGTGGGCTTTGCACAGGATTCTGGAGTATAGAAGTAGTATTTCAGTTAAAATCTTCTTGGGTCTGACACTACAGCTACTATAGTGCAGAAGGACTGGTTTGTAGACTGTAAATCAGCAGAAGTGAGGTTGCAGTAATTATCAAAATTATCTTTAGTATCTGTCTGAGCTTTATGTCATGTTATATAAATAAAATTACACAAATATTTACATAACTGTGCCCTTATGTGGAGTAGGAGAAACCCTTGTATGTATGGAGCTAAGATTTGATTGGTTTGGGTGTGGCCACTTTAAACTCTGTACATGCATGGAGCTCAAATATCTGCACACACATGTGTGTCTAAATCTGTCATAATGTTGCAGTACTGGGTGTTTTTTTTACAGATGATATATAATTGAATATAAAATTTTAAATTGGACTTCTCTCAACTTTTTCAGTTATTCTTTTCAAAATCAATTGGTTGGTCAGTCTTATTGAACTATTGTCCAATATGGTCTGATTTGAGAAGACAGCTATTGATTGTTTTTTTCAGTATGACCCATATTTCTTTTGGGTAAAGACAGCATGGTAGCTGCACTTAATGGCCCAGCAGTCATTACTCTTCTGTGAAAAGAGAGCACAGAAATGCACCTCATTTGAAGTCTGCATTATATTCACATAATCAGGCTAAATTTTTAAGTTTGACTGACTTTAATAGTGTGAAACATTGACTTGTCAACATTTTCAGAAGACCTCAAGAGATCTGTTTAAAGCAATACAATACAATGTTTTCACAAGTTGAGTACAATCTGTAGAATATTCAAGTGCTCCATTTAAAAAACAAGCAAAGCCTGTAAATGAGTAAGACCAATGTGACTGATGTGTTGTGAGGCACATTCTGTTGAAAATCTTGTATATTGTCCAGCTGTCCAGTATCAATGGTATAATATCTGATGTATTAATAAGGTTTCAGTACAATATGAACTTGATATTCCTGTCTGTCTTCCATCCCTTTTTCCTTGTCTGCCATGGGCTTTCTGTTTGACCAATGATGAAATCTTAGCTCTGCTTTATGTCCCATTTTACAGCTAGGGGTAATAGTATTTCTCTTCCTGTGTGCTGAAGCTATAAAGAAGAAAGGACAGAGCTCAGGATCTGTGATAATATGGAATTTATTATTCACTTGATCCATACCTTGAATGTGGCTTGGTACGTACTTAAGTAACTGACTAGGTCTAGTTTAGTAAGTATCTGAAAAAATAAAAACTAAATCGATACAATTATTAGTAGGAAAAAAAAAAAGTAAGCAGGGTAGAGTCTGTAGGATGGACCTGCAGTTACTTCCTTTGTACAGATTTGAGGCTTGGAAAAGCAGACATCAGGGATATGAGAGTCAAATTAGACCTTTTGCTATTATGAACACAAATGTTAAGGACTCAACCTTTCAACCAAATCTGTTGAGGGAGATCTTTTGGCTTAAGAGGAGTTTCAGTGCAAATTTGACACCTGAATGTGAATTCTTACGAGTCTTAGAAAGCATTTATTAAGTGAATAGCCATACATGTTATTGAAATAGGTCACACTGCAGTATCTCATTGTGTTCATAGGGGCTTGGCACAGAATAAGTGTCCTCTTAGTGTTAGGCCTGTCTTTAATCAAAAGTATATGAACAGAGTAATTCTATTACTTCTAGTTGGAGTTATGTCTATTACACTATTAATGCTTTTATATAAAAAGGTAATAAGTTCAACTAGCTATGGATTAAACTGCAAAAAAAGGAGAAAAAAGCTAAATGAACTTAGAGGATCTGGTATAAACCATACAAGGAATTGCTGTGAAGTTGAAAACTAAGAATCTTGGCATGAACTCTGGTTTCAGTGCATGTTTATGCATGGCAGCCTGCCAGACCACATTCTGAGCATTAACTAAGATGTTTCTTTAAATTTTGTTGCTTACAGAGTTTCAGTTCAGGCTATCATGTTAAAACCCCCATGCATTATATGCCTGGAGATGCTTTGAGACTGTACATGGTTAAGAAGCAAGGAATGAAATGTCATCACCTGTGTGTATACATTTCTGACTTACTGTGGATAAAGTTATGTATAACTATCAGCAGCGTGAATAGTTAAATAGAAGTAGATTAGATTAGATATTAGATTTCCCAGGTTAGTCATGGACTACCATCCCCTCATATGATCCACTGAAGAGACAATTTAGTCAGTTATTCATGTATGTCACCTTTCTGAGGCTATGAGTTCCTTCTCACACTTGGTTGGAAGTGCAGTGTTAGGTGAAAAAGCAAATACAGGGCAAGGAGATGGGGGACCCATATTGCTCCAGTTTTGCCACTGACGGACTGTTGGACTTTGGGCTGGGTCTTCACACTTCTTCACTGTTTTTCCCCTTAATTGCACTTACCTTTCTGTGATTTGTTTAGCTCAAAATTGGAAGTGTGGTAGTGAAACTTGATAGCAGTGAGTTGGAAAACACG